GATCGGTTCTGCGGTGCGGGGGAAAAGCAGCCGACAATCACGTGTCTGTCTCTTGGACGCAGTCGCCCTCACACTCACACTCACACACATACACACACACACACACAACCACACATGATTTTACACTTGCCGCCTTGTACGAGTATTATTTGTGAGTTAAAGCGTGACTGTAGCTATTTTTAATGTTTCAACTGTCTCGCTTTTGCTTTGCGGTTGGGCAGAATAATAAAAGCACAACACAACAAAGGCCGGTCCGATTGATTGTCAAAATTAGCAGGAACTTGTCAAAGCTCACGCAATGACTTGCCAGAATATATAGTAATTGTTTTCGGCTTAATTAGTAATCACACAGAATATGCACCTCTGGGGGCGCCTCCACTTAGCGGTGGCGTCTCCGATGGAATGGGGCATTTCTATGACTTCATAGCATGTGTGCCTTGTTTACTTTCGTTTGGGTGCTCAGGCAGATATGTATTCGAAAATATTTCCACTGCCCAAAGGCCTGCCGCTGACTGTCGTCAGAATCACTTAGCTGTGCATATTTTAAGCAATGGGCGCATGTCTTTTAAGAGCAGTCTCCATGTGCCGCAGTCACGAGATCTGGATGTGTGGTACGCTTACGTCCGACCGATATAATTAGAACTGTGTACTATATCTCTATATAGCTGGGCCGATTTCTTTGACGCTGTGAAAAGTTCACTCGCCCAATTGACATCAATCGTGGGATGCATTATGAGGCGAGAGAATTTTCCATCGTTTCGCTAAATTAGTACAAGGGAAAGTCGAAAACTAAAATCACGCTGACCACCGTTGATGTAATCGCCAGGCCGGACAGAGAGCGGCCAGAGAACTGCGAATGTCCCACGAGTACGAGAACCCACAGCACCAGAGTTTATAAATGAAGGCAGCGCCACGGTCGCCGCTCAGTAGGAAAAGCCGCACGAGCGAGCCGCCACACCAAGTGCCGAGTCAGTCAGTTCTCTAGCCAACGTCGGGGTTAGCGCACCGTAACGCAACCCAAAGAAAGAGTAGTATAGTGTAATTGTTCAGTTTCAGTTTTTCCGTTTGAAATCGTCTGCCAGTCCGCGCAATGCTACGGTCCCACGCCGGTCAAGTTTACAGATAGACAATGAAATGGTTTAAGCGTGTGCGGAAAAAGTCTTACTACTCGTGAATCGCACCGCCCAGAAAACAAGCGAACAAGTTCTCGAACAAATCTCGAATTTAGTTTAGCATAAACCTAATTTATTTACAACGCGACAACATGACCTTTCGTCGCAGCACACTGAATCATCGCCATCGCGATGGACATGTCCTGGTCTGGGACCAGAGGGACCTCGACCAGACCCCTAAAAGTAAGCCTTGTTAATAATTAAATTGTGGAACTGTGTTTGGGTTTTCGATGCTCGCTGTCCCTTGTCCACAGTGTGCGTATACGTAATTTGAGTGGCAAGTGTAGTCCGATTTAATTGCCAGTCGATACGACGCTCGTTCTAAAATAGACTCTCTGCCACTCGAGACATACACGTGCGATTCCAATTCCGGTTCGCGTGGCGAACGCGGCGACGGCGATTGTGCAACACGAGACGTAGATGGAGAGTGAGGGGAGTGATGAGAGGGGTGTGAGGTGGGGTTAGTGTGGTGGGGAAAATCGAGCGATTTAATGCTGCGTGAGCAATGACAAGAACAGAAAGCGTCCAACAGTACATTTTGAAATGTATTTAAATCAGCATTTATTCGGTGTAATTGTTTATGGCATACATAGCTTTTTTTACTGCTGTTTATTTGTGGATTTCGGGGCAAAGTTCAACACTCCCAATGGGTGGGCACAGGGTTGGGCCGAGATACGACTGCTGGAAAAGTGAATTGCCTCAATTATATTTACTATCTAATGTATTCCATAATTGTGGCTTGATTCGAACATTAATTTTTCAACTACCAATTATATGTACGATATGGCCCAAGCCCAGCAAAGTGATCACAACTGTACTTGCAGCAGAAATCTATCGAATATCACGTGTTGGCGACACTCTGAAGAACGCCGACTGTCAACGATACACGTTTGTCAAATGACAATAGAGAAATGAACCCCCCTCCCCGCTCCCATTCGCATTTTTTTGCAGTTTTCGTCATAGCAATTCCAATAACAATCTCTAAATACGATTCTAAGGCTATTAGATCGAATGTATAGACTGAAATGACACCATACCCGTAGCAGTAATTCCATATATTCTCAGAGACCGCATCAGAAAGTGAGGCAATTGCCAACCCACTCACACCCCTTTCCGGCTCCTCTATCTGCAATGAGTCATGGGTAGACTAGACCTTATCTTTCTCTCTCGAGCGTCGAACCTTGGGCAAAGTAAACCACAGACAAGATTATAGCGTAGATTATATCGTAGTTGAGAGATTCTGTGACTGTAACTGTGAGATAAATATGTACGAGAATCTCACTGTATTGTAGCCTCGTTCTGGTTTATTTTCGCCTATTTTCGCGGTTCCGAAAAGCGAACATCTCTGTTAGCAATTATTTCTGTTGACAACACTTCCGCTTTTCCTTTGCTTAATTAAATTTTAATTTATGGATGCACATTAGTCTCTGACGCATTCATTGATATGGAAAGATGAGAAATACACAGAGGAAAAAGAAGGCAAGAAAACTCTTTGACAATCCACTAATATGCTCGTTCCTTTTTTGTTTTAGGATTCTTTGCCACCCGCTACTTTGTGACCTTCATGCTCTTCCTGGGCATGGCCAATGCCTACGTGATGCGCACCAACATGTCGGTGGCCATTGTGGCGATGGTGAACCACACGGCCATCAAGACGACCGATGAGGAGATCGTCGATGAGTGCGGCGATCGTGATTTGCCCATTGTAAGTTCGAATCACCCCCAAAGTCTTCGTATTCCAGCTCTTTCTAAACCATTCAATTTATCATTTTAGGACGATTCCCAGGATGGCGAGTTCGTTTGGAGTTCGAGTCTTCAGGGCTACATCCTGTCGTCCTTCTTCTACGGCTACGTAATCACCCAGATTCCCTTCGGCATACTGGCCAAGAGGTTCGGGTCCCTGCGCTTCCTTGGCTATGGCATGCTCGTCAACTCGGTCTTCGCCTTCCTGGTCCCTGTGGCAGCTCGTCAAGGCGGCGTCTGGGGCCTGTGCGCCGTCCGCTTCATCCAGGGGCTGGGCGAGGGTCCCATTGTACCCTGCACCCACGCCATGCTTGCCAAGTGGATTCCGCCCAACGAGAGGTCACGCATGGGCGCCGCTGTCTACGCGGGAGCTCAGTTCGGAACGATCATCTCTATGCCGCTGTCGGGTCTCCTTGCGGAATATGGCTTCGACGGCGGCTGGCCATCGATCTTCTATGTCTTTGGCATTGTGGGCACTGTATGGTCCATTGCATTCCTCATCTTTGTGTACGAGGACCCCACCGTCCATCCTAGCATTGATGAGCGCGAGAAGAAGTACATCAACGACTCCCTCTGGGGCACGGATGTGGTCAAAGTAAGTCCTCCACTCGATTAAATTTTGCAACAGGGATTCATTCATAATTCATTTTCGAATCTTCTGCAGAACCCTCCGATTCCGTTCAAGGCCATTCTCAAGTCGATGCCTTTCTACGCGATCCTGTTCGCCCACATGGGTCACAATTACGGCTACGAGACTCTGATGACAGAGCTGCCGACGTACATGAAGCAGGTGCTCCGCTTCTCCCTGAAGTCGAACGGTCTGCTGAGCTCGCTCCCCTACCTGGCTATGTGGCTCTTCTCGATGTTCATTTCGGTGATTGCGGACTGGATGATTAGCTCGAAGCGGTTCTCCCACACAGTCACCAGGAAGCTGATCAACAGTATCGGACAGTACGGACCTGGCATTGCCCTGATTGCTGCCTCCTACACGGGCTGCGACCGGGCCTTGACATTGGCCATTCTCACAATTGGCGTAGGCCTCAACGGTGGCATCTACTCCGGCTTCAAGATCAACCATCTTGACCTGACGCCCCGCTTCGCCGGCTTCCTCATGGCCATCACGAATTGCTCGGCGAATCTGGCGGGTCTGCTGGCGCCGATTGCAGCGGGCAACCTGATCAGTGATCAATCAAAGGTAAGGATAGAAAGCTGAACTCTGTGTCCTGAGGGATTACTAATAGCTATATCTTTTCGAAGCCCATTATGGGACAGTGGCAGATTGTGTTCTTCATTGCCGCCTTCGTGTACATCATCTGCGGTACGTTCTACAACATCTTCGGCTCCGGCGAGCGCCAGTACTGGGACAATCCCGAGGGCGACGAGCAGAAGGCGGCTCTGAGCAATGGAGCCAATTCCTCGCCAGCAAGGCTGAGCACGCCACAGGCTATCACCGCTACCGAGTCGAGGCAGTAGTATTATCCTGTGACCTGCGACCTGTGACCTGTGTCTGTCATTACCATTACACTACTGTACACAAGTCTAGAATTTAGTATTTGTTTTAGTTATGTATGTATTAAGATAAATGTTGTTACTACGATAGTTAGCCATTGATATTCCTAATCCTATTCCCGTCAGCTGCAACGCAACCGATTTGCATAATAAAAGACAGCAATCATGTTAAAGGAAATGTTAAAGAGAATGTTCAAGAAGGAAACCCGAAACAAGGCACAAATTGTCGAAACAAAGTTAGGCAAATCGAGGTCTACCATTGTAAATGAGTACGAGTATATGTTTTGTAGTTTTCTTATGTGATAGAGACCGAGTTTAGTCTTCTAACCAATTGAAATGATCCGATGAAAGGAACGCAACCAAATATGTAAAAGAATTAAATCTACCATAGCTTAAAGCCAAACCTGAACCTGAGTGTTTCAATCGATTTCAAAGCAGGGGAGGGGAGTCCTAATTCGAAATTAATAATCAGTTGTTCGACTGTCAAAATGTCAGGCTATCCGTTTCTGCTAGTTGGCCCATCTGTCATCTGTCATATAAAAAGACACACAAAGGACATGCAATGGTTATAATCCAATGGGTCACGAAGAGGAACTAACACCGGAGCAAGTAGACTTTGGTGTGTCCCCACTGAGGGGCGCCCTCAGGCGCACCTGGACCGACTTCTGCACTACCAGCAGTATCCACGGCTTGAGGTACACCCGGGACGAGGACACCAACCGGATTGTTCACTTTGTCTGGCTGCTCATCTCCCTTGTGATGTTCAGCTGTGCGGTGGCCATGGCCCACACCTTCTACGTGGACTTCCGCAGCAATCCAACCCGGATGAATGTGGAGAGCGACTTCACGCCACTGAGCAACCTCTACTTTCCACCGGTCACAATTTGTCCTGAGGTGCTCTTCAATATGCAAAAGTCCAAGGCATTTCTGGAGACTCTGTGAGTGGGAATGAGCACAGTGTGAGACCTCGATTGATTGGTACGATCCCAACCGACAGGCGACTACCTGAGGGAGCTGATGTGGCACGCATCCAGCGACAACTCCACATCTTCTACGGCTTCATGCTGGACGATGAACGCTTTGCCGATCAGGACATAGAGCAAATGGAGTCTGTTCTGACCCTGAACAATCTGACACTTGAACAGTTTGTCGAGCACTTGCGTTGGGATTGCCGTGAGATTCTGTATCGTTGTAGGTACCATGGCAAGATTATAAACTGCTCAGAGCTCTTTCAGCTCTCAAAGACCTTCTTCGGTAACTGCTGTTCCTTCAATCTGCGCCAACAGGGGTGAGTGCCCATATAGATGCTAACCTCTAATGACTCCATCTTTGCACAGCCTAAACTTCACCGCTCAAAGGGCCGCTGGAGGACTGGGCTCTGGCCTGTCGGTGATTCTACGGTACCAGGACGACAACTACGACCCTTTCCAGTCCTATTCGTATGGCGTGAAGCTGCTCATTCAGGAAACCAATGCCTTTCCCAGTGCCCACGCTGTCTCGAAGTTCGTTTCCTTCAACACGGAGGTCTTCGCAGCTCTGCGACCCGAGGAGACCTTCTGCGCGGCGGCTGTTAAGGCTCTGGCCATCGAAGAGCGGAACTGTGTGTTCGGAAACGAGTTCCATCTACGCTACTTCCCCGACTACGTCTACCCAAACTGTGAGCTCAACTGCCGGGTGACCAACATGGTCAAGTTCTGCGGCTGTCACACGTACTTCTTTGACTTCAATCGCACCAGGGATCGGATATGCTCGTTTAGGGATATTCCCTGTTTGGTGGATAACTTTGGTGGGTACCAAATCGATAGAATGGCCGATCTTACAAGACTTTTCGTACAGCTAACATCATCACACGAGAAAGAAGCACTCAATGCTATTGTCCCCTGACATGCGAGCACTTTGATTACGATGTTCAGATCTCCAATTTCCCCCTTTATCCCAATATGCCAGTGGTGGATCCCTTTTAGTGAGTGCTCCCCTGGGCTATACATTTTAGTATACATTCTTCTCAGGTTATGGATTCCACTTTCAGCTCGGGTATAGCCAAAAACGATGGCATTTTACATGTGTTCATCAACTCTATTAGCTATCGGCGTATTCGTCAGGACTTGCTCTCTAACATGGTGACCCTGGTTTGTAAGTTCATCCATTTTTCTTTTCCTTGATATCCCATCTTATAATTTCCGCTTTCCTCATAGCTAACCTGGGCAGCGCCTTTAGCCTATTTGTAGGCATGAGCATGCTCTCCGTGGTGGAGATACTGTATTACTTTTCGATTATCCTCCGAAAGAACTATGTGCAGGAGCGTCGAGCACGCACAAAGATGCTTCAGAGGGGAACAAAGTTCGCCGTTCCCAAAACAAGTTACGCATACAAAAATCCAAAGATTGGTATTCATAATTCAAGTTAAAAATCGTAATCATCATCGGCGATATCAGAGTGCAAAAAACGAACCAATAAATTAGAGCAATAAAATGATTGCCTCAAAGCACAACAAAACAAAATCTGATTTCACGATTTCAATTCGCGGTACTTATCGTCTTAAGAGGTTTTATGTTTTCGTGGAAAGGGTTTACCCACATAATAAAATAAACGTATTTTTAGAGGCTCCCAAGATCGTGCACTCTTTTTCATTTGTATTTTATATTTAGGGAGTCCGTTACCCATATAATCAGTATTATAGCGATCACATAATTCCATCAATCCTCTGTCAATCTCTTAATATGCACACAAATTGCGGGTCGAAACAATCCATCGATCGCGACACTTATCTTTGAAAGACCAATGGCAAATAAGTAGCAGTAATTTGCTTCGTTATCTGTTATTGCCATAGGTCAGCCGATGTCCATCGTAAATATACCTTCAGCGGACCATCTGCTCGTCGTAAATTGGACCCAAGCGAAGAAAATCGATGCGATAAGATTGGGTGGATGGGGACGGCTATAAAAGGGGGACCGCCATCACTATCACCTACAGTCATGTTCAAGTTCACGTTCGCATTGGCGCTCTGCGTTCTGGCCGCCGGTTTGGTGCTGGCGCAGCATAACCCTCACTGGTGGGGCAACCGGAATACCATCGTCCACCTCTTCGAGTGGAAGTGGGAGGACATCGCCGAGGAGTGCGAGAACTTCCTAGGTCCGCGTGGCTTTGCCGGCGTGCAGGTCAGTCCGGCCAACGAGAACATCGTGTCGCCAGGACGCCCCTGGTGGGAGCGCTACCAGCCGATCTCCTACAAGCTGATCACGCGGTCGGGCAACGAAGAGCAGTTTGCAGACATGGTGCGTCGCTGCAATGAAGTGGGCGTCCGAATCTACGTCGATGTCCTGCTCAACCACATGTCGGCGGACTTTGTCGGCCAGGCTGTGGGCACGGCCGGCACAGAGGCCGATCCCGCCGTGAAGTCGTTCCCGGGCGTGCCCTACTCAGCGGAGGACTTCCACCCGAGCTGCGAGATCTACGATTGGAACGATCGCTACCAGATCCAGCACTGCGAGCTGGTGGGCCTTAAGGATCTCGATCAGAGCCGGGACTGGGTTAGGACCAAGCTGATTGAGTTCCTCGATCATCTGATCGAGCTGGGAGTGGCTGGCTTCCGCGTGGATGCGGCCAAGCACATGGCCTCAGAGGATCTCGAGGTAAGTCAAAGATTCTGCGGCTCCTTCCCAATCAATAACTTACCCCTGTGATCCCTATGATCGTTTAGTTTATTTACGGCAGCCTGAGCGATCTGAACATTGAGCACGGATTCCCCCACAGCTCCCGTCCTTTCATCTTCCAAGAGGTGATCGACCATGGTGGACAGGAAGTCACCCGCGAGGAGTACAACAGCCTGGGTGCCGTCACCGAATTCCGCTTCTCGCAGGAGATCGGCAACGCCTTCCGTGGCAACAACGCCCTCAAGTGGCTTCAAAGCTGGGGCACCGACTGGGGCTTCCTCTCGTCGGGCCAGGCACTTACCTTTGTCGACAATCACGATAACCAGCGTGATGGCGGAGCAGTGCTGACCTACAAGTCTCCTCGCCAGTACAAGATGGCCACCGCCTTCCACCTGGCCTATCCCTACGGCATCAGTCGCGTGATGAGCTCCTTCGCCTTCGATGACCACGACTCGGCTCCGCCCCAGGACGCGCAGGAGGAGCTGATCTCGCCCGAGTTCGATGCGGATGGCGGCTGTGCCAATGGCTGGATCTGCGAGCACCGCTGGAGGCAGATCTACAACATGGTGGGGTTCAAGAACGCCGTGCGCGACACTGAGATCTCCAATTGGTGGGACAATGGCGACAGCCAGATCGCCTTCTGCCGCGGCTCCAAGGGCTTCATTGCATTCAACAACAACATGTACAATCTCGCGGAGGTGCTGCAGACCTGTCTGCCCAAGGGAGTCTACTGTGACGTCATCTCGGGAGACCTGATCAACGGATCCTGCAGCGGCAAGTCCGTCTACGTCGGGGACGACGGCCTGGGCTTCGTGAGCATCGATTCCGATGACTTTGACGGCGTGTTGGCCATTCATGTGGACGCGAGAATTTAAGACAAGACCCAGAGGAGGGCTTTAGTTAACGACAGAAATATTGGATTTATTTTGTCTCAAATTACAATAAAAACGAACGCATATAATGTATGTAATGTATGTATGAATATGTATAAAGGTTTCAGCTCTCTCTATATGTATGTATGTGTGTATGATTGATCGAAAGATCGATAACAGTAACGGTACAAATACAAAATCGGTACAAGTAAAACATTCAAACTGGAACTGGAGTTAGTCTAACAAATGCCTCGACAACGATATCCTCAGGGAGTTCTCTATCCCTAAACGGATCGGGATAGGGATATACGTTACACTCGTATATGTCATACATATATAGTATGTATGTTCGTGGGTGACTGTAACTGATCCTCCTCCGATCGATCGATGGCTGTAACACTGTAAAAAACCGCTCTGCAAATAGAAGAAGGTCGCATTGTGAAATTGTAGTTGGGTGCTCTGGAATATCCGAATGGCAACAAACGCCTCTCGCAAGCATGCAGAGGCACAAATGAAAATCGGTAGATATCCGCATCGATAGCACTACGCTAAGAACTGTTCAAGCGATCTGTTTAGCGAATCGATTTAGTTTTAGTTTTAGTTTAGAGTCGAAAGCAAGCAACTACAAATCAAAATAGCAACGATTCTACTGGCATTCAGGTTAGTTTCGAGTTTCGAGTGTAAGCTTTAGCGATCGATTGCTGCTGTCGCTGCCGATGGATGTACTTTACGATTACATATTTACCATATACGAGCTTACAAATATGTATATTGTAGTATGTGTTGTGGTTGGTTAGAAGTAAATGCTCATAATGCGTAATTACCTGTAAAATGCTGATATCTTTCTTCGACTTGCTAAAAAGCCAACAACATCCATATCGTATCGCTTAACCATAATATATGTATATGTATATGTATATGTATAGTAAATATCTTGTAAATAATGATACTCGGATTGCTTAGATGTAGGATTTCCTTTTCTCAATTTTTATATTCCATTTTGTTTCTTTTGGTTTTGTTTTTGTTTAACTAACAAACATAGAGTCCAAAAATCTTGCTCAAAGTTTAACATTATGAGTAAATATTCATTTGATAATACGCGAGGAGTTTCCTCTGTCGTTCTCTTTTCTCTAATTTTTTTAAGATTTAAGTACGGCCCCAAATCCAGCTTTTAATACATATGTATACAGGCATGCGCATATATACTCGTATCGTATAATCCCACTGTGCTCTGATCTTTTTTTCAGAGACTGAACAAAATAATAGGTAATGAGGTCACCTCTTGCAATAGCCGCGCAGTTCGGTTACATTTAGAATATAGCGTTTAGATCTTAAGGATACAATCTTTTGTATGGTTTTTTATGGGGTATACTATACCATCCAGAATGTGTAATACTCGCACACATCTATATTTGTATATATTTATGTATGTATATGTAGGTATATCCTATAGCTATACGTATATAACAGGAACCACGTAAAAATGCACAAATATCTTATCGTATGTTTTGGTTTTCCACAATAATTACAACATCAAAGTTTGAACCTCTATCCAAATACGTACGACATCCACGTACGCACTCTATATATGTATATATATATCATTTAATACTATATAATAAATGTTTGACCTATTGTTTTAAATAGTAATCAGGTAAATCGTGGGAGGAATTATTGTTTCACATACATTTGTAGATCATTTAGAATAACAATTTCTATTCAACTATTTCTTTACTGATTTCAGTGGATCCAACTCCAACCCTCCAAATGGGGGGAGGCTTTCTTGGTTTCTCTTTAGTTTTTCAAATATTCAGATAAATCGGTAGAGATCATAAGTGGTTTCCCTTCTCTAATGGAGGAGGTATGTATAGCTGGCTTCGGTTTGGCCGAAGTACCTGTTGGGTAGAGCTTTGAAACGGCCTAAAACCAGAACCATTTTATAAAGTTTGATTATTGAACGCCTTGAGTTTGATTTTCACTTAATCCTACAGACGCACCACAAAGTTGAAATGCGATGTTTTTGAGTTTTAAAATTTAAATAGCTTGAGATAACATTGAGATTGTCAAAAACATATCCAAGAAGATATATATAGAGCATTGCCGCAATGAATTCTCATGAGGTTCACCGTGGTTAAACTAAACAAAGTACTCAAAAAATTGCATTCTATTCTATTCTATCTAAAACGCCACGGCCTAAGAGCCCTCTTAAAAGCTCTTGCCCGCCTCATGGATGCGCTTACGTCGACTGTCGCGTCGCCGGTACCGATCGATGATGCGGGACCGGTGCCTTTCCGGGCACAGCGCCTCCGGCGAACTATCCACCTTCTTCATCACAATGCGGAACGTGAAGGTGTGCTTGGGCGAGGCACTGGCCGCGCGACGTGGCGATGGTGGCTCGAACTCGCTGCCGCTGGAAAAACCGCAGCTGTGAAGCTGCCCTCCGGGGGGCATGGCAGCAGTTGGCACAGTGCCTACGGTGCTGGGAATGCGTGGCGTACCGTTGGTGTAGCCCGAGGGGGTGGACATTGATCCCGTGGACAGCTGCTGGGTAAGCACAGAGCTGGGCCGCGGCTCGAAGATGGAGGCACATCGCTGGTCGGTGCAGAGGAAGGTCTTGACCTCCTCCTCGCGCTGATCGCGCTTGATTGTGAGCGGGAAGTGCTTCCGGCTGGGATCGGCATACGGTCCGTGCCCATGGCCGTGGCTGGGTCCACCTTGGTACGAGGAGCTCGAGTCGTAGCTGTCCCGCGAGCTGTAGTTCGATGAGGTCTGCTGCGAGAGCGGACTGCGTGCTCGCGAGAAGGCACTGAAGGGTGAGATGTGCAGCTGGCGGAAGGTCTCGGCCTTTTGCTTCTTGGTCATCAGCGGGAAGTTGGGCGAGCGGGCGGGCGTTACGCCACTCGTCTCTGAGGGCGTGTAGTCGAAGTGCGTCTCCAGCGAGGACTTCCTGCCGCAGGAGGAGCCCGACCGCTGGAATGTCTCCGCATCGACCAGCTCGATGGAGCTCTTGCGCAAGTCCACGGGACGCCGGTGGCGCTCGTCCGTGTCCACAATCTCGAAGCTGGAGGTCTGGTCCTCATAGCTGGTGGACTGGTACCGCGATATGGACACATCGAAGCTGGTGTCGCGCGATGAGTACGGACAGTCGAAGCTGGACTCGGCGCGGCTCGACTTGCGATCGCCCTCGACCATCTCAAAGCTGTCGCCGCCCGAGTCCAGCCGCTGGAGGTTGATCAGATCCGTGTCCGTGTCCCCCCCGGGGCTGCGCAGCTGCTCGAGGAAAGGCGAGCGCGGCGGGTCGAAGGAAGATCGTCGCGATGGCGGCTCAAACTCAATAGTAGGACACTGCAGCGGCTGCTTCACGGGCGGGGCAGAGGCTGCCGCCTCTGCCACAGCCTGGGCGGCCGCCTCCACCTCATCCGTTTCGCGCCGCAGCGCCTGCAGATTAACATAAACTGGTTCTGGCGCATAGGCCTTCAAGATCTCTACTAGCTCGGCGCGCAGCTCCTCCGGAATAATCAGGTCGTTGGAGTCCGACTCGTGCTCTTCGCTGATCCGCGGCTCGATGGGCTCCCGGCTCTCCGAGCGGCGCGTGAAGTGGTGCACCACTGCTGCACCTCCATCTCCGTTTAGTGCCACCACCTTGAGGGAATTGGTCACTTCCTCGACGAACTGCGCCATGGCGGCATCCGTCTGCTCCGGCTCGACATCTGGACCGACCTTGCACTCGGATTCAGCTGCTCTTTTCGCCTGCGCCTCCTGGTCTGGCTCGACTAGCTCTCGGAGTCGCTCATGCTTGATATAGGACTCACCTACCTTCTCGAAGTGGACGTTGGCCAGCTCGAATGGCAGCTCCTCGCCTGAGGCTGATGCTGATGCAGATCCTGAGCCACCTACCTGCTCCATTATCCCCGCATTGGAGTCCGCGCTGGGACGCTTCGATCCCGAGGCCGAGCTACCTGTCTGTTGGTGGTGCTGCTGCTGTTGCTGCTTCTGCTTCTCCTCCTCATCCCGCTTGGCGGATCGGCGCAGCTTGAGGCTCATCTTCGTATAGTGAGCGAATTTAAGGGACATCTTCGGCTCGAATCCCACCTCTGACATCTGCTTCTGAACGGCACTCTTGGAGGCGGTGGACGAGGGGGCCGGACTGGCCGAGAATGTGCTCTGCCGGATCAGAGGTCCGCTGGAGGATCCCGAATCCGCGCGCGTGAAGGCGTTGGCGAAGCGGTTCGTGCGCGTTGTCATCACCTTCGAAGGCTTTCGCACAAAGGCCAGGATCTCCCGCATGACGCTCTTCTTCTCCTGCACCTGCGGCAGCGACTGCGCCGCCTCCTTCTCCCTCTCTCGCTCCAACTCCCGCGCAGCTGCCTCGGCTGCCTCCCTCTCCCGCTCCGCGCTCTTGTGGGTCTCGGCTGGATTGGAAACGTGGATCGGCGGAATGGGTCCCATGCCCATGGGGGACCGCTTCTCGCTGGCGAAGTAGATCGGCGTGAAGAGGCCGATCGAGGGTCGCTTCATTCCCACAAAGCCCGCCTCCTCCGGCTCCGTGGCCATGTCCTGCACGTGGACCGTGGAAGTGGGACTCCTCCGGGTTCCCGGAAAGCCCGTCTGGCAGCCGAAATCCGTGGGCGCAGTGGCCCCCAGTGGCGAGCGACGCTCCTGGGTGTGAACGCTGAAGGTGGGACTGCTCCGTCGAGGCTCTCCCGTTGGACTTCTGGCAGTGGGACTGGGCTGGTCGTTAGGGGATCGGAGGCCGCTGCTGCTGCCGGGGAAGAGCGGACTGCGCCTGCCCTGGGGACTTCGATCGTTGGTGGCCACGGGACTTCGGGACCGGCCTTGGGTGCCCAAAGAGATTGAGAGTTGTCCGCTATTCTTCCGCCGGCTGGAGGCCCTTAGTGTACCCTGACGCGAGAGTGTGGTGGGCGTTTTCGATGAACCGCTGCCCGGACTCTTTGATTCCATTTCCGCTGGCACCGGACTCTTTGGTGTGAGAGGACTTCGCTTCTTTTCGCTACTGGCCCCAGCCGAGGTGGTGTTGAGGGTGAGGTTGGGGCTGCGCCGTTCAGAGGGACTGCGTCGCGAGCGGAACGACTGCGACTTGGCCTTGCGGATCTTCGGCAGGGACTGGTGGTGGTGGCGGTGGCGGTGCTGGTGCGGTTGGGTGGAGGAGGAGGAGGGGCCGTTCAACTTATGTTAGTTGCTGTGAGGGGCGCAGCTGGTGGGGTCGCTGCTGCCGCTGGAGCTGAGGGTGGTGTTGGAGCCATAGGGATCCAGCGAGCTCTGCACGGACATCGAGCGGCCCTGGTTTTGGCGAGCGCGCCTCACTCGGCTAGAGTTGGGAGACAGCTTTCCGGGGTCGATGCTTTCTGGGTCTGCCTGCAAGTTGTAGAATCAGGCATAAAGGGGGACAACAGGGATGGATGGATGGATATGGATGGATCGCATGGATGGATGGTATGGAGATGTAGGCGTGGATGATGGACAAAGACATGGCCATGGGCATGGGCGTGGACGTGGACAGATGGAGGACAGACAGATAGAGAGAGATGGCGAGGTGGCGTGAATGTGAGTGATTCTGAGTTAACACAAACAAAGCCAAAAGCGGGGTAGGTTTCTATTCCACAAAAGCACACAGCAACCCACCTGGTAGGCCAAAGCATTCATGATGATCGCGTAGGGCACCAGGCTCAGCGGATGGATCTCCCGCATCAGCACATTGGCGGGTATCTTGTGGAACTGGATGTACTCCAGGAAGGTGCCCAATATCTCCTTGATGTCAATGTTCTGCAAAAGGAATTTGTTTGGTTCCTTTTATAAGAAGAATCATAATTATCTGTGGGACTTACAGGATTGTTGTCGTAATACTTTTTGCTCCACATAAGCGCCGCTTGAAACTTGGTAAACTCGTCCGCCCGCAGCTCCTCCCTGGCCAGGATCAGGCGCACCACATGCTGCGGCAGAAGTGTGAAGCTCCCCAGATTGAGCACCTCCGTCCCATGCTCGTCCACGAACTCGAGCACCTTCTGCACCAGGGTCTTTGTGCATTTGTACTGAATATAGCGCTCGGCGGAGGCCAGCAGGGCGCAAACGGTGTCCACGTTGATGCAGCACTGCACGAATCCTGCACAGGCGCGACGTAGCTCCTCCAGGCCATAGTAATCGGCGGCATTCATCACGCCTAAAAAACAGACAAAGGAAATGAATGAATCCCTCTCTCCCCACCGTTCTGCGACTTACCCAGCAGGGTGCGGGGCTGCAGGGTCACGCAGCCTGTGTGTATGTACTCGATGAGCTGGCGGAAGACATCTGGCTCAAACTCCTCAATGATCAGCGTCTGGTGCTGCTGGCCTGTGGGCTAGAGTCAATCGAATCTGAATTAGTACACGGGAGACTACATATTGGCGCTAGCAGAACACGAACTACTAAGCGTATGGAAGGGAGGAGTGTGCAGGAAAGAAGCCAAATTATGTATCAAACTTGTTGCAGACAAACCAAAAGTAGGATTCTAGACACCGATTACTTGTAGACATATACACAATGTAGACACATTGTTGGCTACACAGCCCAATATTAGCCAACAATCTATAGATTATAGCCAAACTGTAGATTATGCAGCAGTAACTTAAGTCTCTATTGTTATCTACATACTTACATACATACATATGCTCCCGCAAAATTCGTTTTTAATAAATGAAATACTCGCTGAAAAAAATGTCATTTGTTTTCCTTCTGATTTGAAAGGTTTCACAGCAGCGAAAAGCAGCGAAGAGTATAACAACAACACAAAACGTCTTCCATATATCTATCTCTGTCATCTCTCTCACATTAAGCATAGCGTATGTATAATTTCATGATGAGCCTATGCAGCCGTTCTCTCCGTCGCCCTGTCTAGCGCTCTCTCGATCTGTCGCGCTCTCGCTTGCATTAGGTCACACGGGCAACTCGGCCGCCCCGCCTGCCTTTGAATTAAGTCTGGACCTTGCACTTCTTGCACCTCGCCTATTGCGAAAAGTTCTTCGATCCATCGCCGACTTAAACCGACACCACGCGTCTTCAACCTGACCACTTCTTGAATCGAGCTAGTCATCCAACAGACTCGTCCTGCTCCCGTCGTAAATCGAACTAGAACCTTTCGCTATCCCTTCGACTTTGTATCGCTTTATATAATATCCCCTTCAATAAAACATATTAAACCGAAAAATCGTCGACTTTTCATAAATCGATCGCACCCATACACTGCTGAAAAAGCTCAGTAGTTCCACATGCACTGTTGGTATATGCTTAGATAAAAGCCAGAACAGAAGAGCTCCCGGTTCCCGTTGATTAAGTAGTCCCCGTATCACTGAATGCCTTGTTTAAGGCAGTTTTATAATGTGTAGGATACTCGTACACTATCTTACAGAGTAGAGACGTGCAACACATTCCCCTATAAAACGCAAATCGCACAGGATAAAAAAAGCACATCTAAGTAAAGCACATAAAAGCCCATTATGGTACATTCGAGGTACGAGTATTTTTAGCTCGTGAATGGATTAAATACACAGCACACACATACAGATGCAGATGCAGAAACGAATGCAAATACAGATACAGATAAAATTACACATACGTACAGATAGAGAGATAGAGTCGTAAGGGGAGAGCGAGAGATAGATAGATTTTTGATGCTTGGTTAGTTGGTTAGTTACCTCGGTTATCGGAGCTAATTGTTGGGTGAAACCGGTTCTCTATTATTATGCGGATGGGGTTGGGATATTGATGATTGGATGATTGCAGGATTTGAGAATTGGTGACACAACAGGGAATGCACGAGAACATTGATAGGTATCATTAAAATGGATTATCGAATAGAACAGTATGCAAAATACAAATGTATTCTAAAATAATGTTACAAAAGAAATATCGAAAAGTTCAACCAAAAATAAACCCACGAGAATTCAATGATGCACACAGTCGCGCCATAGCAGTCCCCAGCTAAATGCAAAATCGCATCACACACACGCGAAGTACTCACTCCTTTTAGAGACCCAGTGTCGCCCCAGGGTAATCGATTATGAATGAATACAGATGCACAGACACATACTCGTACATACATACATACATTCATACGTACATACATGGATGCTGGTGCTTATACGAACCTGTTGTGCGGCATTCTGTAGATTCAATAGCGGCTCCGAGGAACGCTTGAGGAAGAGCCGCAGCTTGTTCTCCTTCGTGGAGGTCTCCCGCTTACGCTGCGGCGATGGCGCCGCATAAAGCATTTTCGCAAACACTCGGGAACGGGAGGCCAGCACGGCCTGTTATAGAGAGAGGAAGAAATGAGTTGTAGGTGATTAGAGACAGTAAAACTTCTTGAAAATGAATATAGTACGAGTATATGTGTGGGTGTTTTCAGAGTTTCCCCGACTTTAATAACTTCCAAACTCAAGCCAAGAGTCAAACCATCTGTGCTGTGCCATTATTTAAAAAAGCTACTTAGTTTTCGTTAAGGAAGCTCCACTGTAATATATAGGGTCGAGGCTGTGTAATGATTACGCAGTGACCTGATTTCAATACTCGGACATACACACACGAACATAAAGGTGGTGAGGGTGTGGGGGGGTATGGGATGATTATTATGATGATAATGATGTTTGGGGCATGCTACATACCTTAACGGCACAGACGGGCTCTCGGGTGTCGCCCACCAGGAAGGTTACATCACACAGCTCCGGCATGGAGGCGAGGAACTTCATGTCCTCGGCCAGTCCCGTTTTGTTCTCGAACGTCGATAGGTCCGGCTCTGCGTCAGCCATGCCGAGTAGTATCAGCGCCTCTGGCATTTGGGTTTACTGCAATCACACAATCACAAGAGGCACACACACACGCACAGACACAGAGGATGTGCGTGCGAGAGGCAGGCTTTAGCATCATCGGCGGAAAGTTAATTGAAAAATTCTATAAATAATTCCTCATTATATCCTCATACAGGGGGGGCAGCGAGGTACAGTACGAAAGTCTCTATTGATCCTTTGAGACCAGGCCAGGCCAGGAACGGTGGCGTGGCTTGGCAGGTAATTAAATTGTAATTCCCTTCCACTTCCAAAAGTCCCCACAAATATCCGGCCTCAACACAGACACGCGTCTGCGCCCGCCATGCTCCAGCTCCTGGTCCTGGTCCTGCTCCTGGCACTTCTGCCATCGCCATTCCATCGCGCCAGCCGTTCGTGTGGCACCTGCTCCGTGTGCGTCCTTGAGCATAGCTAACTCGCAAATAAAATGCAATTACCATAAAGGCAAAAGGCAATAGGCGCCCTGCCCAGGCAAACGGCATGGCATCCGGAAATGCCATCGGACAAGGACAATACCACAACAGGCCAACAGGCCAACATAGGGTCTTGCACGAGTAAGTATTCTTCACAAAACAACATCAAATATAGGGTAGGGATGGGGCGTGGCAGCAGCAGCAGCCTTGCAAAAGATTGTTGCATACTTCGGGAAAAGTTGTTCTATATAGGGGAGATGGTGCTGGTTGGTGGTGGGGCATGGCATGCACATTGAAAGGGCAAAAGTGGAATTCAAAAGGGAGAAATGTAATCAATGTCGTACCTGAATTGTCGCAATAGTAATGTTTGTTAAAGCTAAGTGGACCCTGGGCCCTGCCACATCGCCATCATCGTGTTGTACTTACCTGTTGCAATGTAAATATTCGTCTACGGGCCCCTCTCGCTCTTTTAGATAGTTATTCACAGATACATATTACAGTATATGTATCTCAGAGCGGATTGGTCATATATTGGTCCATATCCGATGCTAAATATTATACCATTACGAGAGTAGCATTACTGCAATCCCAAATTGAGCAAAGTAGGAATAAAGTACGAGTATTTACACCGAAATGGTATTTACACCAAAAATGAAGTGCCTCAAAAGTGTACACTGTACAGCATGCCAATAAAGTTAAGTTTGAAAAGGGGTGGGTGGTGTCCGGATTAGGCCAAAAATTGTGCTGTGTATAGTATTTGTGTAGGTGCCCAAAAAAAAGGAAAAGGGAAAGTTGTATTAATATGTGCCACGCATAAATTTGAGAGCAAAAAGTTAGTTGGAGAAGGAGAGAGATGGAGAGGTGGAGAGATGGAAAGTTGGAGAGGCAATAAATTGAATTTTATTTAGAATCCGTTCAGAGTGTGGAAATTATTGGTACGAGTAAGCGCGTATTTCGCTTGGATATCCACCAACAAAACTAACTTTTTTCTCTGCTTTTCACAAGCCGAACGCTGGCTGCCTCCGTATAGTGTTTCGCTGGGGCGTCACTTTCACTTTCACCACCCCAAAAGCGTGCTCGTACGAGTATGTGTGGGTGTGGGTGTGTGTGTGTGTTGTGTGGGTGTACAAATGTGTGGCAACAAAGGCAACAAAAGCAACACCACTTCGTGCTACGCTCTAGCGTTCTATCTATCACTCTATCTTTCACTCTATCCCTCTGCCACTTTCACACAGAAATCAAATGTTTCGATGCTGACGCTGATGCTAATGCTAATGCTGATATTCCAGTTGCAGTGGTCGCTATTTAATTCAATGATTAAATTTTTCTCTATCTATGGCACATTCCAACATACACACACCCACTCGTTCACACACAGAGAGGACACACAGGAGAGCGACGGCAGAAAGCTTCTCGTTTGGCGGAAGCGAGTTTTGATGTGAAATGAACCGTTTCGCACGAGGCACAGGAGCGTTCTGACTCGAATCCCTGCCTCAAATATTGTGTCTACATCGAAATCGACATCGAATCCATACACAGAGCATAGGGGATGCCTCTGCGCATGTCCTCGACCAATCGATATGTGTCCTCCGGGTGTGTGGGTGCTGTCGCCTAGCCTGGCCAGGCAACAGTTTGTCCGTTGTGGAGTGGGAGGCCCTGGGGAGGCCCGGACAACGTGGCCACGACCGTCGTCGTCGTCGTCCGACCAGACCACTTGTTTGCTTCATTCTCGGGGCACGCGTCTCGTGTTGTGTTTATTTCTCCATGGCGCAGGTGCCGTGCGAGTGGCAAACGTAAACAATGTGCCTCCCCGGCTCGATAGAGATGACACGACGTTCGAAGGAAAGGGACATACCACTCGACATGCGCCCCACGGTGCCGTAACTGTGGCGCCTCTCGCCACTAAGGTGCGTCCCAGAGTCCAGTTTCAGAGCTAAAAACCCAATTGAAATGCGGTGGCAACCCCTGCTCATCGGCACATCAGCAGACCACTTGAGGAGGCAAGGAAAGGGACCCGGCCACCGATGCAGCCACAGTGGGACGCGAGGATACAGTTTGGGATTATTAATTTTTTGCTTTTTTTGTTAGTGTTGATAGTATGATGATTCTTAGGATTGATACTGTTAGATAATAAGATAATGATTGATGTTTATGGGTATACATATATGAAGAATACCTACCTATATCGTACAAATGGCTGATGATGGATCTTCAAACGTTTTACTATCTTAAACTCACAAAAAGGTAGATATCGTTAATTTCTTTATATTCTCAGATGTTTTTCTTCCACTGTGATCAGGAGAGATTGCCAACATCCGCTTTGACTGTCGCTGTTTCTGCCTCTGGTTCGCCGTTCCCCTTTTGATCGTGCCATGCCCCTTTCCCTTCCCATACCCGTTCCCCGCTCCGGACGACTGCCCTGTCACAGAGCCATGCCATTAATTACTTTCGCAGCTTCCCTTTCCCCACATCAACAACCACAACCGAAGGAGAAACTGTCGCACTGTCTGACTGCTGCTAAAAATAGTTCTCCCTTCAACAGAACCAGAACCACAACCAGACATCCATAGATCTTCTGGCTGATCGGTTGAGAACTCCACGCTGCAGGTAGTTCGGTGTTCTGTCCTGACGCCGCCATCCCGCTGTGACCCATTGAGACCCGCTGTGACCTGTGACCTGTGGGTAGTCAACGGTTCCAATTGTATTAGCACTTGACACAGCGCGAAGAAATCAAACAAACAAATAAACAAACGACAGAGAGAGAGAGAGAGTCAAGGATGCAGGCGGCGGCCGTGAGAAGCAGCAGCCCAGCAATCCCAGAGAGGTGATGGGAGAGGGAATGAGATGAGAGTTGCGCAGACCAAGACGCCTCCGCAGCACTTGTGTCCGATTGTGCCCGATCACAGCTGCTGCGATTCGCATCCGCATCTCTAGTCAGTCGTCGGCGAGCGGTCGTCTCTTTCAGTTCTCTGTTGCTCCGTGGAATCTCAAGAGTCGACAGTCGAGAATCTTTATTCATCTATCTAGACACTCGTGCCGTAGCAGAGCAGTACATGTGTGCGAAGTAAAGTGAATTAGCCCGCAATTGAGGCCCAATTGATACCTCCTATATATGTACATTTATTCGGTTCTATAATGAGATAAACTCTTTCAAAGATACACCAAGACACGTGCCCGGCACGCTTCGATGTGACAGCGTGAGTTCCGTTCCGTTCCCTTTCGTTTCCCCCTCTTTACTGATCTATAAATATAACGCACCCTGAGGAAAAGTTCCTCCAAATTCTTGTGTACATCTACCATATACAAAGTGCATCTAGTGATGCTTTTATGCGCCATTTTGGAATAGTTTCGGTAATTTGCGCATCTCTAAACATTTTACGACCGCGTTTACCGTCGCGTTGCAAAAAATCAGAAGAATCCGAGAGAACCGCAGAGGAATAGAGAGTGCCAGAGAGATGATATTCGGATTTTATTAATACTCGTATAGTAGATATCGAGATTTTATTCCGATCGGAACGGTCTTTCCCGAGACGTTTTGACCTCGCTTCTTAATGGTTTCAACCGAGAACTTCTTGTCTGCCGCATTTTCCTGCAGCCGCCGTCGTCTTTTACAAATATATATTTATATTCGTATATGTATATTCTATGGATATATATATATGTATCTATACATACCTACTACATATATGTATCTTGAAGTACTTTCATCTGCGCCGATTCCATATTCATTTTTTGCTTATATTTGTAGTGATTGCTGTGTCGCGTCGCCCATTTCCGTTTGTTGTCGTCATTATTTTCATGTTTCATATGGATTTTGCGACTGCCAGCAAATTTATTTCTTATCCCAACATAAGCAAATATTTTCTTGGTCCACGAAAGATGAAGACTAAGTACTATATAACTTTAAGACTGATCTGTGCACAGGACTCTTGAAATGCGGACCAACATATTTACCGATCGGTTGTACTGAGACTTCTCGCAAAAACAAACCCCGCCATATACCCTAAGGATCTATCTCTGTCTTCTCTGACCAACTCTCTTGCCCTCCCTCTAAAGTGCAATATGCCCCCCCTGCACTTCTCCTACTACGAGATGACTTTACATCCTGAAAATGGCACTCAATCGAGCTCTCGCCGAAGGTTATTTACTGCTTTGATCTTTATAGTAAGTATAGTCACTCATTAGTCAAGGTTGATTTGATTAGTCAAGGTTGATTTTAATCTAACAGGAAATTCATTTTTGCCCATGTAATTACCCACGTACCTACCTGTCTATCACATGCCTTTGAAGAGAGTGTATGCCACCTTGGAGTGCGCTGGCTTTTAATTACCAATCTAAACGACAAGCAACAGGATGCCACCTCAACAGCAGGCGGAAATATATAGTTTATAAGTGCAGAGGCTTCTCCGGCCTCAGCGGGCTTCTCCCCCAATAGAGAAGAACTTTTCACGGACCGGATAAAACGGCAATGGATGGAAGAGAAGCTGATAAGTGCATTTGTATCGCATCCGTTCATGTTCTGATTAGATGAAATTACAAACGCACGCGCCTGGTACCAGGGACCGGATACACCGCCAACCAGGACCCCGGAACCCAGACTTATCCACAGTGCCGCCGCCCCCAAGAGTAGCAGCTGCAGTGCAAAATTGAAAAAGGACGCGTGGTTCAGGCCAAAACTGACGCACAACCGAGTACTCGTATATCCCACCCCTTGGCTCCTACCCTGCTGCAACGGCTGATGGAGCCAAATTGAATTTCCAGCCGTTTGCATTAATTTCCCAGAGCCCGCATACCACCAGAGTGCGCCAGTGAGCGAAGTCTCTCCTTGGAGCTCACTCTTCCTGTCAGCCCACCGAAGACCAAGCCCACTGAGCAGCAACAGCTTTCGACGGATATCAGCGAGTGCTGGGGTAAGCGGCGAGTGCTAAGTGGAGGCGGCAGCGAGTGATGGGAATTTCCGAGCCCGTATTGTGTGTCGTGTCTGTATCCTGAACGCAGCTCGATTTCAGCGCAGGATATTCGTTTAAACTCCGGGAGATGGCGATGCCGATGTCGATGCCCAAGCACGATGCCGCTCTGCTCCTCTGCTTCTGATGCTGGCCGGACGATGAGAATTTCCCCATTTTCAGTCTTCGTTTGACGAGCGACGTGCGCGCAAGTATTTAGCGTAAAGACGCGGATGGACGGACCGCCAGAGAAAGAGCAACAAAACAGTACAATAAACCAAGAACAGCCAGAGCCAGAGCAAGAGCACGGGCTTGGAAAAATGTTACAACAACAGCAGCATCCACAGCATTCACGGGTGGCAGCATTCAGAAGCAAATGAAAAGCGGAGTGAAAACGTGAACATTTTCCTAGTGTAAAACGTGCAAAGTTTTGACGATTTGATTTTCATTTCGGGCGGATAATTTTTGAGAAACTGGAATTTTGTTCTGCTGCAAATTTTCACAGCAGAATTGAAAATTCTCATTCACCTCATCAAAAAACGAATACGAGAAAAAACGAATAAAAAAGTGTGAGCTATGGTAAATGCAAATAAAATATGAAACCATCGATAGATAAATAGTTGGAAAAGTGAAAGCGGAAAATCGTATAAAGAAAAGCACATCAAAGGACATGCAAAATAATACGATATCAAACAAAAATTTGATGGAAAATCGAATGAAAAATTTGTTGAGCTGCAGAGAAAATTTCATTATTCTGCGTGAGTGTGTGTGTGTGGGAGCGTGTGTGTGAGTTCGGTGTGTAGTATCTTTTGTGGCTCGGCTTCTATGTATCTGTGAGATACGCAAAACAATTTGTCTGCGCCATTAGTAGCGAAACGTTCCTCAGCTTTTGCGGAGGCATGTTCCCATGTGTGTGCGCGTCTGTGACTGTATCTGTACGAGTATCTGTGTCTGTGTTTGTGCGTGTGTGTATTCTGCGCAGTCGACAAAAACGAGGCTGCGTTTCGCATTCGATGCTGCCACACAGGACACAGCAGCAGCATCCAAGCAGGACCAACGGCAGCGCAATATTTGCGATGTTGACGCAGCCTGCCTGCCCCACTCGCCTCTGTTGTTGCTGTGGCTGCTGCTGTGGCAGCAGCGGGGGACCCGCCGCATGTGTATCTGCAAAATACAGATACTCGTACATCGTACATACCCCTATCCAACCATCCATGTAATGTACAAGTACAAGTGCATGTGTGTTTGTCCTGCGAAATGTGGCCAAACATTTGCACTTTGATTAAAAAGTTAACGGGAAAAATTCAGGTACCTTCCACCGCACATATTTACTTTTGGGTAAATTTGTGCCCAGATTTTCGATGAAAAGTCGAACGAAACGAGCTGGGGAAAGCATAGTAATTATCCAAGCAAATAAAAGGCACATACATAGTACTCGCTTTCGTAGAAAGATTGAGAGAACTCTGGCTCGGAATCAATTAGGGAGGCATTTTGCCATGTAGGTTTCGGGGAAATTAATTCTGGAAAAGATACTAGCAGCAGAGCAGTTTGATAATTCATTTTTCAGAGTCGACAGGACCCATAGATGCTGCTAAAAGAACACTACGATTCTTAAAAGATGGTCAAGTTTTCGTGTTTCATGTTTTTCTTGATACTCCTTTCCATTATATACATCATTATAGGTTGATCGAATTTGTTACTCCCTACTCCTTGAGGAAACTACTCTAACATGTTTCGTTTTCATGTGAAGACTATCTTCAACATTTGTTTGTTGAAAGATGTAGATCGAGTCCTTCTGCTATTCATTTTCTGGAATGACATATTTCTGATACTTCTGACCTCAAAGGTGACGACACACTAGTAATTCTCCAATTATAACTATACACAAAGTAGACGGTCCCCACATCTCCGATGATTCCAATCCACTCTTATCCAGCAGCGGAAACACACCACCCGCAGTGAGTGTCACCGTATGTCCCCTCAGTGGGACACTTGTCCGTGTCTTGAACTCCCCGGCTGCTCCACTCGAATTTTCTTAGCTTCCTTCTCCGGCGGGGGTGCGGGGCTTCCTTCAGCGGGTAGTGTAGTTTGTATTAGTTTCCTCAACTTTTGCAGCTACTCCGCTCCGCTCCGTTCCATTCCGCTGCAGCTGCTTCTGTGTGCCGTTACTCGCAGAACTTTCAGCTTCAATTGCCGTTCCTTTCTTTACTCGCTGTGGCTGTAGCTGCGGCCTGAAGACGGGGGGAGTACAAGAAAAACTCTCAAGATACTCGCTGGTTATTCGATTTTTTCGCATTTCTTCTCACGAGGCGTGTTCTATCCATGTGTGTGTGACTGTGTATGTGTGTGCGATTTACAATTCCGCTTTGTTGTTGTTTTCGCCGTTGTACAACTGTGCGACAGCCATTTTGTATAGCATACTTTGCGTACTATGAAGTTTCACACACACACACACAACCATAAGCAGGGTCACACAAATACACATACAGACAACTAAGAGAGTTTCCCTTTTTTTTGTCGAGAAGAGAATTTCCCAACTTTTTAGCTAGCCCAATATTCAGTTTTTTTTCCTTTTTTTCGGTGAAGGGGGAGGAAGGGCCATCACTTGGCCAAAATAATAGACTAGAAAATGCGAAAAAGCGAAAGGCAAACAACAAGAAGAGGGAAAAGGCAGACTCCATCTCTTTCGCCCTCTCTCTCTGGCTTTAGCTACTTCCTACCACAGCTTTCAGCCATCTTTCTCTCTCTATCTTTCTCTCATTCTTTCGGTAGTCGTCTATGCCCAAGTCTAGTATCCACAAAAAACAAGAAAACAGGCAAACGACACGAGAAAAGAGCTGAAGAAGAAAGCGAATTCTGAAAAAATCAAACACAATAAATGCAGTATTCATTCGGCAGGCGAACACAAATCCCAAAGAGAAAATGCGAAAAAATACTTGGGGGCATAAGAAAGTATCTGTGAGATATGGATTTGTGTCTTGTGTGTGTCCGAGTATATACATATATTCATATAGGGATCTGTATATGTAGGTGTTTGTGTGGCCACGCGAAATGTTAAAAGTGATTTTGTACGACGCCCATGTACGACATCCAAATAAAAGACCCCAAAAATATTATTAATATATCCATGGAAATACATATTTTTCCAGAAATAAGTACCAATATTCTAAGAAATATTGCCTATATGCCTATATATCTATATAAATATTGAATATGAATGACAAATTGAAAGAATTTAAAGAAATTTATAAAAAGTAGTTTTACACCTCTTATTTCAGCTTTATCCGAAGCTCCTATTATTATTATTAGGCAGAAACTGAGTACCCCCATCAGACCATATACATGAATCCCAGCTGAAGTTTATTTCATTTTTGTTCCATAGATTCGATATTCAATATAAATTCGCATTGAAACTACTCCGTACTCGGCACTGCAATTATATGCTTTTCATGGAAAACTACCAGTGCGCGAATCTTCAAATTAATTTTATTGCACTTCATGGGAAATAACTTTTATATTGATGAAGTTGATATCAAATTTGTTTTCCATATCAATGCTTACATTGTTTAGAAGGAAGGACTTTTCTGCTTGATTATCTTACTCCTGGGGAATTCTAGGAAGTGAAATAATCCGATTGTGTGGCTGGTTTTCTGCGAAATTTCATCAGCTAAAAACTACCATCCATGACAGCTCTTTCGTGTTAGCTCCTGCAGCACACACCTCCTGTTATTGATACAAATTCGATTCAAGGTATCTATCTGGGAAAGAACTGTAATTGGTTGGTATTAAATTATTTCCATATCAATTCCTGCTTTGATTCCATAGAAGAGCCCATACCGTGAAATTTCCAAGCTAATGTTTCTTGTTAATGCACCTTTCGATGCACATCCGATTCGAGGAATCTGATTCAGATGCCTCGACAATTAAAGACTCACTGCACATGGAATTCCCGAGCATGGGCTCAGCCATTGTGTACCACGATTCGCAGAAAGGCCCGCTCTTGATTATGCTTCTGGCCTTTCCAATTAGTCCCTACAGTTGACCCGAATTCCCGAGCCTTTTCCGAATTTCCGTATCCGTATTGCATTTCAAAAAACCTGAACAGGAATAATTGAAAAGAGCAGTCGGCCTGCGTCAACAGCAATTCTGTTGCTGTTGGTGCTGCTGCTCCCTCTGCTGTTGGCCAGATGTCAGGCAATCTGAAGGCTGTCATCGATTTTAGCCCTTGTCGGGGGGTGGATTCGAGTGGTATGTGGTCAGTGGTAGGGGCCGTGTATAGGGCCTTTTGTATGTGCCTAATACACGTTCTCTAATAAACGAAACTTTATGGCAATTTTGGAAGCTCCTGGCTGCTTTCCGGGGGGCAGCTGTTTCCTGGAATTTGACATGAGTCTGAAGGTCTGGGGAATGCATTCGTGAAAATTATATATAGGGAAGTGTATGCATCTGAAATAAACAATTATTGAAGGTCATTACGTGGGTAGAATTGTCTGCTGAAAGATCAAATACCATTTATCTCATTAATCACAGCTCACAGTTTTTGAATTCCTATTAATTACAGATTTTCCCGGAAGTCACAAATCATCAACCACATCACCTGTAGGGGAGCCACAACCAACAACAACACACGGATAAGTGCCACAGCAATGTGTTGCTTTCATTTAAAGAACTTTAAATGCGGCCATCCGCGCTCATTGAAATCCACGAAAAGTTAAGAACAGATCCATCGAACAGAGTCCGGCCAGGATCCAGCCAAGATACACTCACCCCACACCCACTCTCAATCACTCACTAGAGGACTCTCGCTCCACACAGCACCCTACTCTCCACCCACAAGAAACAGCCCCCTCCAGTAGGCGGAAACTGACACGGACACGGTCAGAGTGGGATTTGGGGGATCTGGGATCCGATTAGGATGCCCCGGCTAAAGCAACAGGGTTGGGCCTGGCTGCTGCTGGTACTGGCCATTTGGGTGGGCGTGGGCCCGGGACCGGGTCCGGGTCCAGCTCTCGCCCAACGACCACTGCTCGCCAACCACACCTTCAACGCGCTGTCCAACTACAACAACAACAACTGGGGGCCGGGCGGCAAGCAGCTGCGGAATGGGAGGGTGCACGAGCAGCCCCTACCTCTGCCACAGCCACAGCCCACGGTGACGGGAATCTACGATGATTACGAGGGGGAGGCTGGCTCTCGACCACCACCGGCCGGCGGGCGACGGGAGACGCGACGCCGCCAAAATCTTGCCCGACGAGGCATGGAGTCACTGCGCAAGGAGCTGATGAAGCCATCGGTGGGTGGTCCCGGTGGAGGCCTCTCCGGCAGCAGTGCCGGATATCCCTCCTACTCCGGTACTTCTTCGATAGGCCGCATTGACGGCCTCGGTCTGGGTATGGGCTCCGCGGATCGCTATGGGGAGCAGCTACGTCAGCCGAGCGGCGCAGCGGCCATGACAGCCGGACCCGTGGTGGGACCTTACTCCACCCGCTTTCCCCCGCTGTACGCTGGCGTGGACGAGCAGCAGCCGAAGCGAATGTACTCGCGCAAGAACTCCATCAGCGAGCTCTACAAACTGAAGAAGAGCCTCAACCAGGCGGACGAGCCCGCTGGCGGAGTCACCCATGGCAACTTTGAAGGCGATCCCGTGGTCAGCCCCCAGGGGGTGCCCGTGGATCTGATACAAGAGATCAAGGATCGCATCAGGGACACGGAACCCAATGCGGTACGAATCTAAAGCTACTTATTCTCCGGATTCTCTAATTTCCTTTTCCGTTTAGAACACATATTCAACCCACACGGAGTCCACTCCATCCTCGGAGTACGAGTACGAGCTGGGGGTCAAGTGCAACTTTGAGACGCCCTGCAGCTGGTCCTGGGTGGACTACCCGGACGGCTTCCAGGTGATGACCGGCACGGAGCTGGCGAAGCGGAACATGACGGGTCTCCTACCAGGGCCAGTGGCCGACAGCATCGACGACGCCAACGGACACTTTCTGTACGCCCGCGTTCAGCCCAGCACCAAGCCCCTGAATCTCACTTCTCCGGAGTTCAGCACTACCATGGAGAAGTGCTTCCTGGAGGTGTACATGCACCAGAGCGATATGAGCCACGGCCTGTCCCGCGTGGTGGTTGAGCCACTCCACACGCAGGAGAGCAGCTGGGTGCCGGCCGAGATCCAGGGCGACAACTTTCGCACGTGGACGCGCAAGGTGTATCGCCTGGGGCGCATCTCCCGCGACTTCCGCATAGTGTTCGAGATCGTGCCGGACTTGAAGGCCGGACAGAAGGGCCATGTGGCGTTGGACAATCTGCGGATGGTGAACTGCTTTCCAGAGGGCACCAAGTCGGAGAAATGCAGTACGTCGCAGGTCAAGTGCACAAACAACAGAGTGCCCGTTTGCATTCATCTGCCACGCGTCTGTGACATTACACGTGACTGCGACGAAGCGGAAGACGAGCATCAGTCATGCGGTGAGTGAGTGAAAAACACTTTGGAGAACACTTTATTCGGATAGGATTGGTTCGATCTTGCTCAATACAGTAACCATACAGTAAATAGATGTATTACCGCATAAAAGCGAAACGTCCGCACAGCATCAGCATCGGCTGGGGAGTTGTCGCGTTCGGCTATCTTCCTGTAAGACGGCTCTCACATACAATATGTTCTCGTGTTGAGGGTTTACCCTATTTGAATGTATGCGTGCACACATATGCATCACGCATTTTAGCTAAGCCAAATCTTCTCTCAAAATATCCGAAAAATACTCAATAATAATGATCGTAGTCACCACAGATGATCCAACATAGATCCCAAGTCACCTTTTGCTTCCCGATTTCTTTCACAGACAAAATACCTTATGGCGGTCGCTGCGATTTCGAGGAGGACTGGTGCGGCTGGCGCGACTCGGGCAAGACTACTCTCACCTGGTCGCGCCACACGGGCTCGTCACCCACTCACGACACGGGGCCCGATGGGGATCATACCCTGCAGCACTTGTTGAACAACACCAGCGGCTACTATATGCTGGTCAACATGAATCAGCACATGAACGATACGGAGAAGAACTCGATAATCGGCTTTGCCAGCAATGCCATCATGCTGAGCAAGACGTTCAATCCGCCGCCATCGGTGCACGGAAATCCGGACTCCCCGTACCGGAACTCCTGTGTCGTGCGGTTCTTCATCCATCAGTTCGGCAAGAATCCCGGCAGCATAAACCTCTCCGTGGTGGAGATGAAGGAGAAGGAGAACATAACCACCACGCTCTGGTGGAGCACCAAAAACCAGGGCAGCGATTGGCTGAGAGCCGAGTACGTCCTGCCCAATATTACGTCCAAGTAAGAGAGAAGGGAAGAGAGAGAGAGAAATAGCTGATTAATGGGATATTGTTTAACCTTATTTTCATCTATCGCAGATACTATCTTCAGTTTGAGGCCCGAATGGGCATGAGAATCTACTCGGATGTGGCCGTGGATGACTTTTCCCTGAGCCCCGAGTGCTTTGGCCTCAACATTCCCGAGGAGCACCTCAATGGCTACAACTATTGGGATGTGCGACAGAACCTCAAGAGTCCCACCTACCGAGACTTTGAATATACCAATTGTAAGTGTAAATCTTAGTCTCCGTGTGGGGAACCGGGAACGGTGATTAAATCTTCATTCTCCTTCCTCAGACCTGGAGCTAACCAGCTGCGATACTCGGGGCATGATAGGGCCCACTCAATCGCAGTGCGAGAGCGCCTACAAGGAGCAGAACAAGACCCACATTCTGCGAGAGGTGCATGTGGTCGAGGATCAGAGCAGCTACAAGGGCATGCAGAAGTGGAAGGTGCCCAACGAGGGGCACTACACGTAAGAACCGATCTTCAACCGATCTCCCTAAAACAATAATGCAATCCTTCCTCCATTTCCGTCCAGAATCATTGCCAAGGGAGCCAGTGGAGGACTCGGATCGGGTGGCGTGGGCAGTTCTCGCGGATCTGTTGCCGTGGCTGTGCTGGAGCTGCACAAGAACGAGGAGCTCTACTTTCTGATTGGCCAGCAAGGCGAGAACGCATGCATCAAGTCCATGGGCGCGCTGAAGGAGGCCGGCTGTGGCACTGACCACGACCTGGATCTTGCACAGTACAGCTTCCGATCCAAACAGGACATGGTCAAGAACATTTACATTGAGAACGGCGCCGGTGGTGGTGGCGGTGGTTCTTTTGTCTTCCTGTTGAATCAGGCCAAGAATGAGGCTGTGCCGCTTCTGGTGGCCGGCGGAGGGGGAGGCCTGGGCATTGGCCAGTACATAGACGAGGACTTCCAGCACGGCCAGAAGGCGAAGCCACTGCAGGCGCCGGAGAGTGGACAGATCAATGGCGAGCCGCTGAACAAGAAGACAGCCGGACCAGGAGGCGGCTGGCGGGCCAAGGAGGATCAGGCTCTGAGTCCCACCAATGGGGCTGCCCTGCTGCAAGGCGGTCGCGGCGGACACTCCTGCTATGTAGAGCTGGCTGACAATGGCACCACTGTCCATCGCCATGGCCAGGGCGGATTCGGAGGCGGCGGAGGTGGCTGCAACACGGGCGGCGGAGGCGGCGGCTATGCCGGCGGCGATGTTTATCTGAACGAGTCAAACGGTGAGGGCGGTAGCTCGTACATAAGCGCCTCCCGCAGCCTGCGGGAGATTGGTGACGTGTATGCGGGGGCCAGTAGTGGCCCGGGATCCGTCATCATCATACCGGCAATCGAGGGCTGTGGCTGCGACTACCGATGCGTGGCCATGGACGAGTTCCGGTCGAAGGTGCGCTGCATATGTCCGGACGGCTGGAGCCTGAAAAAGGACAACAACACGGCCTGCGAGATCCGCGAGGAGGCGGGCAAGTCCTCCTTCCAACACCTGGTCTCCATACTGATATTTTCATTGGCAGTGCTCTTTTTCTGCATAGCGGCCCTCATCTTTATGCTATGTAAGTGTGGAGTCGAGTCGGGAGAATCAAGTACTAAAAAAAATACTAATTCCTGATTGATACCCTCCTAGACAATCGCTATCAGCGCAAGAAGCAGACCAAGAAGCGCCACAAAATGCTCGTAGAGCAGGACCTGCAGCTGACGAGACTGCGCCACAACATCGACGACTCGAACCTGAACAACTTCAATCCGAACTACGGCTGCGACGCCATCCTTAACGGCCACATCGATGTGAACAGCCTGCCGCAGGTGGGGCGCGACAGTCTCCAGTTGGTCAAGTAAGTTCCACCACTTCCACCTCCACATCCAGCCTCGTGCTAATCCCTCCTCCCTTTCTGATTGCAGTGCTCTGGGCAAGGGAGCCTTTGGTGAGGTCTACATGGCTCTGTACCGCCATCGCGATGGTGATGCCGTGGAGATGGGCGTGGCGGTGAAGACCCTGCGCGAGGATCCAAAGCGTGAGAAGGAGGAGGACTTCCTCAAGGAAGCGGCCATCATGGCTAAGTTCAACCACCCCAATATGGTGCACCTGATCGGTGTCTGCTTCGACCGGCAGCCTTACTACATTGTCCTGGAGCTGCTGGCCGGTGGGGATCTGCAGAAGTTCCTGCGCGAGAATCGGAACACACCGGAGAGGCCTTCGCTCCTAACCATGAAGGACCTGCTATTCTGCGCCCTGGACGTGGCCAAGGGCTGTCGCTACATGGAGAGCAAGCGGTTCATCCATCGCGACATCGCCGCCCGCAACTGTTTGCTAAGCAGCAAGGGGCCAGGTCGCGTGGTGAAGATTGCGGACTTTGGGATGTCGCGGGACATCTACAGATCGGACTACTACCGGAAGGGCGGCAAGGCGATGCTGCCGATCAAGTGGATGCCCCCGGAGGCCTTCCTCGACGGCATCTTCACCTCCAAGACGGACGTGTGGTCCTTTGGCATCCTGCTGTGGGAGGTCTTCAGCCTAGGGCGCTCCCCGTATCCGGGCCAACACAACACCCAGGTGATGGAGCTCGTGGTGCGAGGCGGTCGCCTGGGTACCCCAACCGAATGTCCCGTCTCTATATACAAGATCATGGCCGACTGCTGGAACCCGACGCCGGAGGACCGTCCCACATTTACCAGCCTGATGGAACACCTGACCAGCTGCTCCCAGGATCCGAGCATCATGAACGCGCCGCTACCCAATATCCTGGGATCGACGTCCTCCGACCGCGACGACACCATCATCCGCCCACCCAATGGCGAAGAGTTCTGCCTGGCCGTACCTGATTACCTGGTCCCCCTTCCCAGCCATCTCGCGCAGCACTTGCCCAGCGGCTCCGCCTACATCCCGCCCCAGCGCAAGCAGGCGAGCGCCAGCGCGTGCACTCCACCAGCGGTATCCTCGCCAGCGACGCCCCATCCCAAGCCGGTCGTCCTGCATGACCAGCAGTTGGAGACCTCTTTCATCTTGCCCAACTCAAAAAGTGACCAGCCCCTACTGGCCGCTGGAGCGCCCATCACCACCACGGCGCCCATTAGCGTCCCCACCCCACCCAAAGCCGCCTCTCCACTTCTACCCCCAGCAGCGAAACAGAAACCGGCCGCCGAGCAAGATGCCGCAGAGGGTGTCGTCGATAGCCAAACTCACGACCATGAGGGAAAGCTTATCAGTCTGGACACGCCGCAACCGACGCCGACGAGTATCACACCGCCTCAGTGCTTCGCCTCTCAGCTAGATGGGATCACGCTGGATCCATCGACCCTGGCCAAGAGCCTACCCAATGGCCTACCGCCGGGCAAGCAGTCGTACGCCAATGTCCAGGTAAAGGGCGAGCCGGAACCGAAGGCCATGACCAATGGCAATGGCAATGGCGCTGTTGTTAATGGGGAAAGTCCGACAGCTGCGGGTGCTGCCGGGGACCGGGAGCCCCCCTTCACCATCCAGGGCTACGCGGAGCGGTACAAGGACAACAACAATCATTCCGAAATCAGTTGCTAGACAAAAGGTGTCTCGCCGCCGGCCACAGGGTGAAGCTGTCCGTACCGTACCACGATATCGTACGATCCCGTACGATCCACAATTTGTTCGCGTTTCACGAAACTTATTGCTTGGTCTGATTGATTCAATCGGGGAAATCTTTAACAGAAAACAGAAAACAAATCGAGTGAGAACTTCACAAAAATATTGTATTGCAATTAAAGCGTAAATTTGTATTGTACGAAAATAGAGAACCGCTGAGGAAACTCCGTGAAAGCAAGTGAAAATACACACATTAATTAGTTGAAAAATTAGTTTAGTTTTGTACCAGACATTAGTTTGCCAAAAAAAAGAGAAAAACAAAAAGGAATTAACATAAATTTGCGAGAGGTTGTATATATCAATTGAGTATAATATTAGTGCATATATTGTTTGATGTACCCTTAGGTTTTTTTGTCCATCTTTTTAGTTTACCCTTAGTTTCGTTTTAAGCTGATGACTGAAATGCCAAACAATATTCCTAAAATATAACAAAGCGTGACCGAGAGAGAACGAGAAGAAAGAGTTCGATTATTTTTTATACGCAGTCCAGAGGATCGGGAACCAATACAAAGCCAACTCAAAGTAGTTCAAAGTTCAAAGCAGGACACACACCACCCACACTCTCTTATAGTCTTTGATTTCTTTATGATGCTAAGTTTTATCCTAACGAACTTGTAAATACCAAATAAAAACCAACCAACAAAAGCTTCCGTCGTAGCGAATCACGTTTATTGAATGTATTTGTATTTATATTAGATTAAGAGATAAACCAAAACAAAAAACACATAGCGTGTAAACGAGTAAGCGAGTAAACGATAGATCGAAAACGAATACAATTTACAGGGTGATTTTTATGAAAATTCAGTTGTATGTTTGAAAAACAGAAAATTAGCATTAACGGGGTAACAACCCCGATCGAGGAGTTGTGCGACCTTTGGTTGTGCAACATGCTCTCAGCACAGCCCTGTATTTGTTCATCATTATAAAATGGTTCTGTTCGAGATTCGAAATTTGAGATTTTGTACATTTAGTTGGAACGTAACAAACAAGCTTTAAATTATATAATTTTTATAAAGATATATAAACGGATATACAAGTGAGGCGACAACATTATATTAAACAACAAAAAAAAAAACAAACAAACAAAAAGAAAAATGAATACAATTATACAAGATCAAGTGACATATGGCTCATCATATAGTATATGTATGTGTATATCTATACCTAGATCTAAGAAAATTGAGATAAACCGAAACAAATCGAAAAACGAGAAATACATACACACATATACATATATATATACGCATATATATATATATAATTATATATATAGAAAAAATACCGCTACATATAGTACTTATGTAAGACGGATAGCGTTAACGTTATCATAATCGTTAAGATGAACATTATGTCTATGTTTCGCTTTGTGTACCAGTCTCCAGTTATACATATATGCGCATACATTTACATATACACATGGGAAGCATACTCTCGTACTCGTACTCGTATACATAGCTATACGTATGATACTACCAGCTAATATATCTAACTATTATATACATACATGCATACATACATATATAAACGATAAACCCCGACAAGCCGTGAATTAATGCTGAATGCTAAATGCTGAGTACGCGGAAACCCAAATCGGAATATCTGTATCTGTAAATTAGACTTCTAATTACTATACAACAACACACACATTTTACAGGAACGATTACTCGAAAGGATTCAAATTCCATTCCCAGTTCCCAATTCCCATTGAAAAACTGTACAAAACCAAACGGAATGGAAAGGAATATCGATACAAATTGAATATCGAAATAAAAACTTACAAAACATAAACCAAATGTATCGAAGGCTCAATGGTATATGTTGTATATGAAGGGCACTATGCATACATATACGAGTATGTATATACAATTGATCCTCAGTATCCACAGCATACACTTAGTATTTAATTTAACCTACAACCTACGCAACGAAACGAAACAGTATTCTTTCGGTTGTTGCTCATTTATCGTATACATTGTATCGTATCGTGTGTATCTACTATGGTTGTGCCGATTACACATCTCTAGGAGATCTTTGCTGCTCAGTGAAGGAGAGTCAGTCCGATATACAAACATACACCACAGACCGTATACCCACATTATACGCATTTTTGTACCCTGATGACCTTAAGATTACCTTGTGTACCTAACGTCCAGAACCTGACACACTCACATACAGAAGAATTCTTCTCGTACATACATACTCGTATGTATAACCACGGTGCAGAACAGATAGTTATTGATTGATTTAATCGTTAATCGATTGTTTCGAAATTGTTTGGTTCTATAGCTGATAACATTCTTGACACCAGTTTGATTCTTCGGTTCGATTCGCCGTTGATTATTGTGGAACCAAGATTAGAATGGAAAATTCTGAGCTTAGCTCAATGTTGATTGTTGGAAGATGTTGCATTCAATAGCTCGATTAATCATATATAGATTCTTTATTTGTTTACCTCAATAGCCTGGCTGACCAAGGAACTTTTATCCATACGGATAGAAATGTCCTAGTCAGGTGCGCCAAAATATTGATGATTATTTCGATAGTTCAGGTTGATTCTTCAGGAATCCCCAAGTTCAATATTCTTACACACACACAATTTATTTCTCCACAATAAAAATTCGCAACGAAATTTAGAAAAAATGAAACAAAGAACTACAAATAAAATATTAACCCATTAAAAACAAAAACCTATTTAGGTAATGGAGTAAACGTATAAATGTACTCGAAAAAAAATCCAATAAATAATATTTTTATATATTGAAGTAAAATCAAAAAAAAAAAAAAAACGACAAGAATAGCAGAAAGGTTGAAATGAAATGCAAGTTTAGTGCATGCGAAACAAGCTTCAACTTAGCTCTAGATATAAATGTATTAATAAAATATTACAAACAATTGATGGTTTTCATTTAAAATCGTAAATTATTTTGTTACATTAAAATCGATATAGATACAAAAACAAAGGCAAAACAAATTCAAATAAATATAAAAAAAGAAACAGAAACGCAAAGACTAGAACACACGTTTTGAAAGCTGGAAAACCGACGAGTTTTTTAGCTAAAGTGGATTTAAGGATTGAAGGATTGAATGAGTGACGGATGGATGGATGGGATGCAATGGGATGGATTATTGCTGGCAAGCTATATATACATACATATATAATACGAAACAAACCACATACAATACAGGCAACAAAAGTCCACTTAGTGATTACTAAGCAGAAGATTCCAAATCAGGCACCCAAGCCCACGCCCATGCCCACGACTCCACTCGTAATATCTTTGCTCCGATGCTCCATGCTGAACAAACGGAGAACTCTTTAAACTTATATCTTATATAATTTTAAAGTCGACTTAAGCTATATAACGAAACACTCATGCTAAGAAGATACATACACCCATCCTCGTGAACCCTTCAACTTCTCTGGTTTTTCTTTGAGCGTTTTTTTTTTTTAATGTCTCGATAACGAGTCTATACTGCGAGTATCTCTAATCGTAAGCACATGTCTCACAAACCGAAAAATCGAACAAATATAGTAGGTATACATATAAAAACATCTGTATTTGGAGCAAGTAATGGGGAAGGGATTTTAAAGTTGGTAGCGTTTAAGCAGCGCTGGTAATGTGAAGTAACAGAAACTGAGAAATAATAAAAATGAAAATTCATGTGTACAAAAAAAGACAAAAAGAAATGTTTTAATGCAGTTTTATTTAAACAAAATAGATTGGGATGGAATGGGAACCCGAACCCCCATCTAATTTCAAACACTTATCCGTAGAATTTCCTTCATAATTCTGTTTTATTGAGTTCTTTCTGTTTTTTAGATTGATTTATTACCTGTTTTCCACACTGCTTTGAGGCCAATAAAAACTAAGCCCCATACATACATACATACGTATGTATACATATGTACATATATTCGTATGTATGGCAATAGTTTTCCTCTTTTTTCGTATTAGTATTAGTCATGTTTTTTTTTAAGATAGTTTTGCATTATACCTTTGCATGTCTAGAGGCTAATTTAACATTTGTATAGGTAAATAATAAAAAGAACGCGCTGGTATAATTGTATTATTATTTTGGAAGTGTATTTTATTGATGCACTGCAATTTACAAATCGGTTTAGACAAAAAAAAAACATAATAAATTCTAGGCATAACATAAAATATTCCACATATTCAATATTCAAAATTGCACAAAGAACGGACCCGAGAACGATACGGATACGATGCATAGAACAAATCGATCAAACGAGACGGAAAGCTAGGGTCCAAAGTGGAGGAAGAGATTGGTTGCTGACCCGATTTTGCCTACTAACTGGATGGAATGTTCTTACTATATGTGTATCTATCTGTTTTTGTATTCTTTCTGTATACGGTGTGTCTGTGTGTCTGCGTGTTGTGTTGGTTTTCTATAATTCAATTTATCGCCTTTATATATAAATTTTCATAATCATGTTTTCGCTAAATTGTTTCGACTCAAAAAACTTCATTTTTTTTTTGGGCAAACCCTTTTTTCATTTTCTTTTTGTGGTTTTTTGTAACTTTTTTTTGCGGTGGCTAACCTTAGATTTAGGCTTTAGACTGCAAAATGCTATTATGTTTCTGACGATTTTTCATATAAATATATTTCTGGTTTTCATTTTTATTAATTTATTATTATAATTACTCGTTACTCATTATCATTATCGTTATTATTTGTATATTTTTTGTTTTTTTGTGGCGTTTCTTCCCTTCGTTCATATATATATATATTCGTATATATATAATATATATATTATTATGTATATACGTACATATATATCGAACATATACATACATAAATTGAATTTTGTATATATGAATTTGTTGCTCCTGCCGTATATATTTGTCGCTTTTGTTCGTTCTGTTTTGCTTTGTTTTGTTTTGCTTCGCTTTCTTTTATATAAATTGAAAACTTAATTGTAAATGTAAAAATGTTAAAACTACATTCAATTATAAATAATGTTGGTTTTCTTTTCTCTTCGCTTCGCTTCGTATTATTTATATGCAATTTTCGCTCGTTACATAGTAATAATTATATTTAATATTAATTAATTAGCATAGTTTACGTTACGTGTATGTAATTTTTAAAGCAATAACAAGCCATTTCTTTAATTTCATGTATTCTCTTTACTAATCATTTTGTGGAATTAATCGCCATTGTTTCATATATATATATATATCTATATATATCCATATAGTTTGGGATGTACTAATCATGCAAATTGCTTCTCCATCGATGAGCCGCCACTCTGATCCTATAAATTCACTCGATTTCCATTCTCAATCCCATTCCCTCATCTCTGCATGCAAAAAGTCGGAATTCCTTCTTCTAAGGGGTTTCCTTTCCCGCATTCTCCTTTAAATATTACACAAAAACTTTACAAACTCGCTGAGGGAGGAGGCTGGTAGGGTCAGAGAGAGAGAGCGAGGGACGTCTGGGATCTTCTATCATTGCACCTTATAGATGCTGAATGCTGGACGTTGGATGACGGATAATGGCTGCTGAATGCTGGGTGCTTGATGATGGTACGACAAATGCCATTTTATTACCCCGATGTGTTATCATTATTAAATCTGTTCTCTTTTGTTGTTGTGACCATGTGGCTGTTGTTGTTTTTGGGCGTGTTTTTGTGTGTTTACTCCTTGTAACATATATGTATATAAAAATTATGATTATAATTATTCGCTAAAAACCTCTAAAATGTACGCCGTGTTAAAGCATTTAGAAATCGCAAAGAAGAAGACCCACGCATCCATCTCATCGCATCGCATCAGACCTCCTGGCTTTCCAGATCCATCCATATCCCAATACATATATCCAGAGTTGTGGCTCAATCGCGTCAGTTTATTACAAAAAGGGAATCAAGCGCGCCATCTTCAACGCGTTGTCCAGGAAGGCGCTCCACATGTCGTTCAGGCGCTTCGAGCGCGACATCAGGAAGCGCCAGGTGAGCAGCACGGCCACCAGTTTGGTCAGCTGATGCAGATAGTAGAGTCTGTCAAGAAACAATCGAAATCTATTTGTTAAGGGTTGCTCTTTTCGTGAGTATTCAGAGTTGTTTTTGAGAGCTCACCTGACCATACGCTTTCTGCTGTCTGGCAGCGACTCGGGCCGCTGCTTAAACAGGAACTCCCTGAAGCCGAGCACATATCGCTCGACGTACTTGTCCCAGTGTATGTGGCGCACGTCGAACACAAAGATCTC